TCCTCCCACTCGCTCTCTGAGTATATTTTTTTTTTTATCAACAATTTATATAGTGGTGCTCGATGGCAGCCCACTTGCTATCTACATAACACATACACTATGCAACCTGGGTACTAGGTTAACTACTAAAAGACAATCACCCCCCCAACCAAGACCCTTATGGTGTATACATCGAAACTTCCCGAAGGGCAACCCACCTTGCGAAAATGGTGCATCAGGATAAGGGGAGGAAACCATCGAGGTTCCGCTACACCCCAGAGTCGTTGATCGCTGTTCAGAGGCCATGCAGGGCGAATGAGATAAGAACAGCACCACCCAGGAGGTGGCAAGGTGTCTTGAGGCTGACAAGCCAAAGATGCGCCTGCCTGAAACCAGACGCAGAGAGTTAGCGGCGCTGCAAACTGCTATAATAGTGGGCCACAAGCACAAAGAAGTAGTTGTGGGCACAGGTCTCCGAACCCTAGAGTTCGGTGGTGTCAATTCACTGATAAATCCTCCAAAAGGAGGAATAACCCCACCCGCAGCGACTATCCGACACCCAAGGGGTCCCGGTTGAAGCCAAACACCGTAGGGTTGTACTTCAAAAACGATGCAATATCCCCGAGAAAACGGGGATAGTGTACAGAGTATCTATCGTGGCAGCAAAAGAGGATGTGCTGGCAAGACTGCAGAGCAGCCCTGCAAGTGCAGCCATGAGGCTCATTAATCTTGAAGCAACGGTAATACGCTCCAATGGGCGCGTGGCCAGTTATGCACCAGCAAATGTGAGCGAACTCAGTAATACTGTGTCCAAATGTTGAAAGCCAAGGTCCCCCATTGAGGTACGATGGCTGTAGCGGCTGCCCGTCAGGCCATTGAAGCTCTAAGAATTCAGAGCTGCGGTAGGTTGGATCCTGGAAAGTGGAACTCCATGAATCCAGGACTGAGTGCGCAGCTCGAGAGTGGAGCACGTCTAAAGAATTGTCTGTCTTGCGACATCCAACCCTGACTTTGAGTTCGGTGACGTACTTGTGTGCCTCACCATGAATGTCCCACTGCAAAGCAGATGGAACATAGACGAAGGTGATGCAGCAGAGATCATCCACCTCAAACCACTCTCGGAGAGTGCGACAGACTGACAGGCTAAAAGCCTGACCAGAATGAACGGAAGGGTCTACCGCTCTGTGGGCTGATCCCATAGAGTCAGTAAAGACCATAATATGCTGGCAGTTTGCCTGCTTGACAGCAAGGTGCACCACGCACGAAATGGCATTGAGTTCCGCATCTGGGGCGGTCACTCTGCCAGAGACATAATGAGTCCTTTCGAGCTTGCGATGTCCCTTGTAGATGATGGCTGCCGAAGCCGCCTGATACTGGTTGGACTGAGGGACAGAGCCATCAGTTGCAGCCAGTACTGTTAAAGGGTCTGCTCTCGCTTTTGCGATGAGCTTGTCGAGGTATAGGCGCCTATCCTGGGTAGGATCGCACTCGTCAAAATGGAGACAGTCTGCATAGCGGTCCAGTAACTGATCACCAGGGCGAGCTTCAGGCACAAAGGGCTCGAAGCTCTCAGTTAAGGTGTGGATGGGCTTGTCCACCTCCATAACAGTACTCTTGACTTTCCCTCGCATAGCTGGGGTCATCAAGGTGGCTGAGTGGGCATGTGGTTCAGCCCACTTGAGGAGCCTCTCGCCCATCATGGAGCGAAGAGGGTGAGTGTCCAAGAGGGTAGAAATGTGATACATGGCATGCGTAGCCAACTTCTTCAGCATAAGGTGGACGGGATGAGACCTGCTAGGGCCTCAAGGCTGCCTGTACTGTATGTAATGGGGAAGCTGGTCACCTTACGGTGCAGTTAGAATTGCCTTCGAAGTAGACACTTTCTCGTTATCAAGTATATGCAGCCCTATAGATAAACGTCTTGGGTATGTATGTACGAAATTTCATTGTTTTAGGAGGCCTTCCTCACATTCTATGAATATTTTGCTGAAGAGTGTGCTGAACCGATGCTGAACCAGGAAGCTGGTCAGGCCCTGAGACTATCCCAAATTGTAGTGACCCTGACCAGACTCAATAGTGCTGCCTAAGCGGGAGATAAGATAAATGGTGACCAGGATCCTGGTCACTGTCATAGAATTGTTCTTGACATCGAGTTGTCCAATTTACTCCAGATAAAATGCATGATACACAATATTTGGCATACCCCAAAGCTCTTTCTACAGTTAATATACTTATATTTCCACCGATAGGTGAGAAATTCTTACCGAGAACAGGAGTGGTCAAAAAAGGCAGAAACTCAACTTATGAGTCAATTGAAGCCCAAGATAAATTTGTAAAATTATTTTAATACTTGGAATACATTACATAACTAATCTTCCATCGCTTTAACACCCCGTTGAGTGACAGAAGATATCTATGAGATCATAGTCAACTGTTGTTTCTATGAGGTCCCAAATTTGATACATCTTGTTGGCAGGCAGATGACAGAGAATAAGGGATGGACAGAAAGACTATTTGTGCTGAATAATAAAGGCAAGGAGCTCAGAATTACATTTCAGAAAGAATTTTGTGAGTAGCTAGTCTCTTCGACAAGAGAGCCGCCATTTCGTCTGAGGGAAGTAGGTCCAAAATAAGAAATTCCTCTGTCACATGTTCACACACCCAGAAATACAGCTCTTTCATCCATACAACTTGCTTAATTCTCACAAAAATGTTATACACTCCATGTTGTGACCTCAAAAATTTAAATTATGCAAAAAGAATGGAGGTAGCAGTGGTCGTGGACGTTGAAAATGCGAGGTGACCAGCTTCCTGGTGTGACCAGGTTCCTGATTACGTACAGTAGGTGAGGTGCGGAATGCACCCATGATCCATAGAGCAGCTTTTCGCTGCATCCATTTGAGCTGGTTCATGACGCCTTTGTTACAGGCGCCATCAAAATACCAGAGGCGATAACCATACGTAGCAATAGGGACCATGCATGATCTATAAAGGAGGCACCACTGTTTAGGCGAGAGACCTCTGGTGGAGTTTCCGAGCATGCGCATGGCCTGCACAGTGGTGAATGCCTTGGTAGCATAGTAGCAAATGTGCTCATGAAACATGAGCCCGCAGTCAAAGTAGAAGCCCAAGTACCTCCAATAGGTCTTGGGCTTCAAGGGTGTAGCACCAGTATGTGGGGCATACCCCAAATCCAGCAAGGGATTGTAGGTGTCTCATCCACGCGAAAAGTGGAACAGTTTGGTCTTGTCATGTTCAAGAACAAGTGTGAAAGCAACAAAGAGAAGGTAGATAATTTTGTAGGCCTTATGCAGGCCCACATTATTATCATCGAGCTGTTTGGAGTGGGCCAGAATGGTCCTGTCGTCCACAAACAAGAGTAGTGTCATACTGAGCGGCGCTGCCTTAATATAGAAGAGCTTCATCACCGGAGCAATTAAAAGCCCTGAGATAACAGGCGAGAGAGCAGAGCCCTGCCCGACACCCACGTCTGCAGACCGCGAGTTGGATTGGAAGGTGTTCCAACAGTAAACTGTGGACCAACTGACAAGATAAGAGGTGAAGAACTCCACCAAAATTGGCGAGAATCCTTGCTTACAAAGAACAGCCATGAACATTTCATGGTTGATGGAAGGGAAGAACTGTGCGATGTCAAAAGCCAGCGCGCTAGTCTGGAGACCCTTAACCCACCCCGCTCGCACGAGATGAGTCAGAATCAATCCAGCATCCTCAGTTGACTGTTGGCGAATACCACCAAGTTGGTTTGGATGAAAGATATCATGTTTGACAGCATCAAACTGTATCCTGTTAGCAATCATCTTTTTGATAAGTTTACCAAAAGTGATGAGTACGATTGGCCTGAAAGCCTTTGGCACTGCATAGGAGGGCTTATTCGGCTTCAGTATGATAACCGACAGCAACTCCTTGAATATGCGTGGCCAGTGACCCACCCAAAGGCAAGTGTTGGCCAACACAATGAAGAGCGCAAGGACGTGTTTATCCTTGAGCAACTCCTTTAGGTGGACCCATGTAACATGGTCCAGTCCTGGTGCAGAGGAGTTGGAACACCCCTTAAGGGCACTCAACAACTCATGCTCCGAAAAGTCAGCCCACTCACAGACCGGCTCATCAGGAAGCTCATCTAAAACAGAGGCATTGTTCAACCAGAGGCCGAGTTGTATGTACCATGAAGGGTGTCCCAGAGGTCGTCCATATCATGACAAGGCTGGTCGCTGTTGCAAATAGCCTCACAAGGTGGTAGCTTGTGCTGTTTGACCCATTCCATTAGGTCCCACAGGCGCTTGCGAGAAGTAGCGATTTCTGGGATGTGTTCATCGAAGAAATCACGCTTGGTGTCTTTACACACCTTCTTGAACTTGTTGTAATCAGCACGTGAATGGCTCAACTGATACACTCCGAATATTTCCGAGCACTCGTCTGTCCACCAGGACTTGGAGCGTGTGGTAGGTTTGGACTCGGTCAAATGGGCGAGCCACGCGTCCGAGAATGCTGTCACAATAGCATCGGCTAAAGCTTCAACACCTTCCTTGGTTGCTGGGGCTGCAACAGGAATAGCCACAAGATCCCAGAGAATATCCGAAATGAAAGACTTCTCAGCCTCGCTTCCGGGTTTAATTGTCCATTGCCCAGATCTGGGCAGTTCGGGACCGATATCAAGATCCGTACAGATCGGGATGTGATCTGACAGACCCTGGAGATCATGCTCCAATCTAGGCATCGAGATTAAGATCTCAGATGGAGCTAAGAATCCAAGATGTTGGACCTCTGGTTTGGATTGGGACTGATCCTTGTTGGTCTGTGGTTAGAAGGTCGTGCCCACTCGAGGCCAATCTGAGATGTGGTGTCCTGCAGGGATATTGCCATCGACGACTTGCCATGCTCATAGTCATCCCAAGTCGTCAACACACAATTGAAGTCGCCTGCCATATAAATGAAAGGTGGGAGAGAATGCACATGAGCAGCAAGGTGCTCAATGGCTGTGTGTTGGTCGTCAGAATAGACATTCATGAGGTTGAGAACCTCACCCCCACTAAAGAGGGAGAGGATGAGGATGTCACGATGGTCGACGATGTCACGACACATAGCGGGACGATAGCGGGAGAGCCTAGTTGAAACAGAGGCGATCACACGGGGAACTTCCCCTTCCTTAATGCGCACCATTTGCAGCCAGTTGGGATGCTTTGGTGTGCCGATAACCTCATCGCCCTCCATACTAGTGGTGAACAGTGCATGTCTTATGAAATTCCAAGGGGTCTCTTGAAAAAATAAAATATCAAATTTGGTTTTACAAATTTCGAGGAGAGTATTGAAGTGGGCATAGGTATGGTGAACGTTCTGACAATAAATACATAATCCACTACTTAGATCCTGAAGGTTTCCCAACATTAGTCTACGTTCAGGGGTTAGTAAGTTGGCGGCGAGCGGCATGCTCACGTACCTGATGATACTTGGCCATGATCCACTCACGGTCGTAGCAATGGGCCCAGAACTTACACGAGGCCAAGTTGGCAGCGTGGTCCTTGTGGCAGTTGATGCAGTGGCCCTTGTGGGGGCAGGGCTGGTTGCGAGGGGTGGGCGGCACAGGGGGTTTCGCTTTTGCATTGCCCTTGCAACATCCTGCATGTTGGTGGTGCTCCTCCTGCTCGTGCGGACCCGAACAGATGAGGAGAGTTGTTTCACCTTGCAGGCGACGGTAGGATGGCCCCACTTCCAGCAACGCTGGCAGAGCAGGACCCCGGTGTGTCATGTGGTGTCAGACTCAAAATATGTTTTGATAAAAGATCGAACTAAGTTGACATCATTACAAGTTGGAAAGTTCACATGAAATGTGGTCATCCCTTTACCAATCAATCACTCGTCCATTTCATCTCTTATAAGCAACATTAGTCAAGATTATTGGTACACTGTGTAGGCACCAATTGCACTGAATAACCAATGGAGCTATCATCTCAAGGATCTATAAGCATGAACAATGATGAATAATGAGTAGAGTTATCACCTCAGGAGAAACATAAGCACTTGACAGAAGCTGAGTAAGGTGGTAAGTAATTACTAGAGAAACTAAGGAATTGCATGAGTAAGCACTCAGAATCATGAGTCAGATGTGAGATAGCATCTCAGTATTATTCTATAATTAGCAGTAGTCTTAGTCAGTACACCACTATTTCCTTATTTAGAATGCCTCTCTGAAGAGTATATAAGGGCCTGTAACTAGCTAGGAAAAAATATACAACAACCCAGAAGTTTTACTGCTATCATCGTTCTCGTGTGCCTAAGTTTTGCCTGAACATCTGACAATCTCAGCTGTTCAAATTGTCTATCGTCACTAGCAAGCAACATAATCAGTCATTCAAGCTAGTCTAGTCTGCCTTCTCATAACTAGTTCATAACGTAACCAGTCGTTCACACTAGTTTTAGTCTCGCCCATCATTGTCTTGCAGCTAGCATGCAACGTAACCAGTCATTCACACTAGTTTTAGTCTCGCCTGTCGTTGTCTTGCAGCTAGCATGCAACGTAACCAGTCATTCACGCTAGTCTAAGCAATTTCTGCTCCCGTTCTGTTAATTCTTGATCAAGTAGTGTTCAATAGTCTTCACCGACTAAGCTGCCAATCAAGCAAATATTTTGTACCAGTCAAGTTTAAGTCTACTAACAAGCCCAAGTATTTATCCAGTCTCACCCTTTTGTGAAACTAAGGGTAAAGCTTGATTAAGAGTTTACACTATCCTAGTAGTTCATTGGATCATAGGATCAATCCTCATACTGTGGTTGACTGGCTATTTTATAAGAATACTGACCCTTCTTGAAACTTTGTTAGACCCACGAACTCACTGGAATAGCCCGAGTAACGACTCTCTGGTGAAACCCAGGAACTAACCCTTTGTTTGCTGACAGCGGCGGGCCTGATTGTGCAGGACCACCCAGCGAGGAAGATCGGTTGGCCTAAGGCCTGCTTGGCTCGGGTTCCCTGCTGGGAGTCCCAGATGTTGCAGTACACAGTGCATGAAGTCAAGTGCACCGAGTTGCGATCGATCCGAGGCTTGGTGCTCAGATAGGCAAAAACCTCAGCATGAACCGAGGTGTGGAGGGCCTTCTCAAGTGCCTCCTGAGTTATCTTCAGCCCCTTCAGGTCGAAGTAGGGAATGTCGAGGATCTTAATAAAAGATGTCGATGATGGGAGCGCAACCTCGAATGGAGTACCTGTTGGGAGGCTCTCGCGGATGAAGTTGCGCAGAATGTCCAGGTCAGACAGGCTGGCAACAGCGGGGGTGACCAACAACAGGCCATCGTAGACACGGACGATGGAGGTGACCTTCAACATGGAGCAGCCATCCCTGAGGTACCCGTTGGCCACACGTACAGCCGACTCAGTGAAAAACTTTGTGAGGTTGGGAGGGGTACCCCTGAACAACACAAGAACCTGCTTCTGGGTGGGGCCCTCGGAAGTGAAAGAGGGGACGGACCAATGAGGAGAGGTCTTCATCGGCCCTGTCGAGAATGAGGGTGGGGGAGAAGGCCCACGACGTTGCGGTCCCAAGCCAGGAGGCAGGGGAGGCATCGGAGCGGCCTGTCAAGCAATCCCTGCCCATGTCGTCAGACGGGGCTTGGGTTTAGTGGCGCGATTGATCGGCGGGGGCAGACCAGGGTGGGAGTAGGCGACCTTGCTCTTCTTCTGAGGAGGGGGCAGCACCAGACAATCAACACCCTTATGCTTCTTGGAAGCAGGGATGCGAGAAGGGGAGGCCAGGCGACCGAGGTCGTCCAAAGCCTGCATGAGGACATCAGGCGGAGCCCCTACGTCAGCGACACCCTTATCGAGCGGCCCACAGGCAGCAGGAGGAGGGGGTCTGAATATGGGAGCTGGGTGGATGGTCGGCTCGTCCTTGGAAGATGTCTCGGCCTCGAGAAGAGAGGCAAGCGAGAAGTTGTCGAGCTCACCTGGTCCATGAATACGACTAAAGTCAGTGGCCATAACGGCATTCACGAAGGACGTCATCTGGGCCACGAAGGCATCGCCCCCATCGATGGAGAGCGGATCGTGATGCACAGCCCGCAGAATCCAATCTGTGGCCTTCGCAACAGAAGTGGTCAACACCTCGAGGTCCCCCAAAAGATCCTCGACTGTGTCTCGGAACTTCAAGGGATATTGACCCAAAAGTTGGTCGACAGAGGGTCCCTATAGACCTCCTCCCCTCCCTGAGTGCCCTCCACCTCCATCTCCTGGTGTGGTTGGGCTGTCCCCAAGTCAGACTGGTATTGGGACGAATGGGTGGAACCTGTGGTTGAATGGGACCTGCAGCGGGGCGATGTGTGGCGGGATCATGCCGGAACAATCGTCAAGTAGGTGGCCCTAGTCGTGGTAGGGTCTGGCGAGATTGGCAAGGCACCACCGCTCAAGGACAATGAGCCAGCAGCCGATGTTGGTGGGGGAGCTGGTGGAGCGGAGCCCGAGCCCCTGCAATGGATTCCAGGGGGTCTCGTGCCCTGACCTCTCGGTGGGAGGTTGGACATGGTTTGCTGAGGCGGTGCGAACGATCAGGCGGGGTGGTCTGACTGGTAGATAACACGTTGGACGACGAATGAGATGGTGAGCTGGTTGTTTATGCGTGTTTACAAGTGGGCGTTTGAGAGAAAGAGGGTTTGACCCTTTGGGCTCAAACACCTAAACTCCCCAGAGGGCAACCCACCTTGCAAAAACAGTGCATCGGGATAAGGGGAGGAGACCATCGAGGTCCTGCTACACCCCATAGTCATCGATCGCTGTTCAGGGGCCACACAGCGCAATGAAAATAAGAATCGCACCACCTGGGAGGTGGCAGGGTGTCTTGAGGCCGACAAGCCAAAGATGCGCCTGCCCAAAACCAGATGCAGAAAGTTAGCGGTGCTGCAATCAACCAAAAGGTTCAACTGCCTGCACAAAAGAGTTGTTGCAGGTGCAGGTCTCCGAACCCTAAGGTTCGAGGGTGTCAATTCACCAATAAATCCCCCAAAAGGAGGAATAACCCCGCCTGCAGCGATTATCTGACACCCAAGGGGTCCCGGTTGAAGCCAAACACCGTGGGGTTGTGCTTCAAAAATGACGCAATATCCCTGAGAAAACGAGGATAGTGCACAGAATATCTATCACGGCAGCAAAAGAGGATGTGCTGGCGAGACTGCAAAGCAGCCCCACAAGTGCAGCCATGAGGCTCATTAATCTTGAAGCGACGGTGATATGCTCCAATGGGTGTGTGGCCAGTTATACACCAGCAGACACAAACGAACTCAGTGATACTGTGTCCGAATGTTGAGAGCCAAGGTCCCCCATTGAGATAGGATGGCTGTATTGGCTGCCTGTCAGGCCATTGAAGCTCTAAGAATTCAGAGCCCTTGTAGGTTGGATCCTGGAAGGTGGAACTCCATGAATCCAGGACTGAGTGTGCGGCTCGAGAGCAGAGCGTGTCTATAGAATTGTCTGTCTTGCGACGTCCAACCCTGACCTTGAGTTCGGTGACGTACTTGTGCGCCTCACCATGGATGTCCCACCGCAATGCAGACGGGACATAGATAAAGGTGATGCAGCGGAGATCATCCACCTCGAACCACTCTTGGAGAGCGCGACAGACTGACAGACTGAAAGCCTGACCAGAGTGCACGGAAGGGTCTACCGCTTTATGGGCCGAGTCCATAGAGTCTGTAAAGACCATGATATGTTGACAGTTTGCCTGCTTGACAGACAGCAAGGCGCACTGCACATGCAATGGCATTGAGTTCTGCATCAGGGGCGGTGACCCTGCCAGAGACATAGCAAGTCCTTTCAAGCTCACAATGTCCCTTGTAGATGATGGCAGCTGAAGCGGCCTGATACTGGTTGGACTGAGGGACAGAGCCATCGGTTGCAGCCAATACTGTTAAAGGGTCGGCCCTCACTGTCGCAATGAGCTCGTCGAGGTATGGGCGCCTATCCTGGGTAGGATCGCACTCGTCAAAGTGGAGACGGTCCACATAGCAGTCCAGTAACTGGTCACCAGGGCGAGCTTCGGGTGCAAAAGGCTCAAAGCTCTCAGTTAAGGTGTGGACGCGCTCATCCACCTCCATGATGGTGCTCTTGACTTTCCCTTGCATAGCTGGGGTCATCAAGGGGGCAGAGTGGGCATGTGGTTTGGCCTGCTTGAGTAGTCTCTTGCCCATCATGGAGCACAGAGGGTGGGTGTTTGAGAGGGTGGCAATGCGATACACTGCACGCGTTGCCAACTTCTTCAGCATAAGATGGACGGGAATGAGACCCGCTAAGGCCTCAAGACCACCTGTGGGAGAGGTGCAGAAGGCACCAGTAATCCATAGAGCAGCTTTGTGCTGCATCCGCTTCAGCTGGTTCATGGCACCTTTATTACGGGCACCATCGAAATACCAGAGACAATAGCCATACATGGCAATGGGAACCACGCATGATCTATAAAGGAGGCGCCGCTGTTTAGGCGAGAGACCTCTGGTAGAGTTACCAAGCATGCACATGGCCTGCACAGTGGTGAATGCCTTGGTGGCATAGTAGCAAACGTGCTCATGGAAGGTGAGCCCACGGTCGAAGTAGAAGCCCAAGTACCTCCAATAGGTCTTGGGCTTCAAAGGAGTACATATTGAGCAGCGCCACTTTGATATAGAAGAGTTTCATTACCGGAGCAATGAAAAACCCTGAGATAACAGGCAAGAGGGCAGAGCCCTGCCCGACACCCACATCCGCAGACTGTGAGTCAGATTGGAAGGTGTTCCAACAGTAGACTGTGGAGTGACCAACTAGATATGAGGCAAAGAACTCCACCAAGATTGGCGAGAATCCTTGCTTATGAAGAACAGCCATGAACATTTCATGGTTGATAGAAGGGAAGAACTGCGTGATGTCAAAGGCCAGCACGCTAGTCTGGAGACCCTTAACCCACCCCACACACATGAGATGGGTAAGAATCAATCCAGCATCCTCAGTGGACCTCTGGTGAATGCTGCCAGGTTGGTTTGGGTGAAAGATATCATGTTTGACGGCATCAAACTGTATCCTATTGGCTATCATCTTTTCGATAAGTTTACCGAAAGTGATGAGGAGTACTATAGGCCTGAAAGTCTTTGGAACTGCATAGGAGGGCTTGTTCGGCTTCGGAACAATAACTGACAGCGACTCCTTGAATATACGTGGCCAATGCCCCACCCGGAGGCAAGCGTTGGCCAACATGATGAAGAGCGCAAGGACATGTTTATCCTTAAGCAACTCCTTTAGGTGGACCCATGTAACATGGTCCAGTCCTGGTGCAGAAGAATTGGAGCACCCCTTAAGGGCACTCAGCAACTCATGCTCCGAAAAGTCAGCCCACTCACAGACCGGCTCATCAGGAAGCTCATCTAAAACAGAGGCATCGTACTCATGACCAGAGGCCAAGTTGTACGTGCCATGGAGGGCGTCCCAAAGGTCGTCCATATCATGACAAGGCTGATTGCCATTGCGAATAGCCTCACAGGGTGGCAGCTTGCTCTGTTTGACCCATTCCATTAGGTCCCATGGGTGCTTGCCAGAAGTAGTGATTTCTGGGATGTGTTCATCAAAGAAATCACGCTTGGCGTCTTTATATGCCTTCTTGAACTCATTGTAATCAGCCAGCGAGCTGCTCAACTGATATACTCCAAATGTCACCAAACACTTGTCTGTCCACCAGGACTTGGAGTGCTTGGTAGGTTTGGACTCGGTCGAGTGGGCGAGCCACGTGTCTCTGAAATGAAAGACTTCTCAGCCTCGCTTCCAGGTCCAATCGTCCATCACCCAAATCTGGGCAGTTCAGGACTGATGTCAAGATCCGTACAAATTGGGACATGATTTGATGGACCCTGGAGATCGTGCTCCAATCTGGGCATCGAGATTAAGATCTCAGATGGAGCTAAGAATACACGTTGGATCTCTGGTTTGGATTGGGACTGACCCTCGTCGGTCCGTGGTTAGAAGGTCGTGCCCACTCGAGGCCAATCTGAGATGTGGTGTCCTGCAGGGATATTGCCATCGACGACTTGCCATGCTCATAGTCATCCCAAGTCGTCAACACACAATTGAAGTCGCCTGCCATATAAATGAAAGGTGGGAGAGAATGCACATGAGCAGCAAGGTGCTCAATGGCTGTGTGTTGGTCGTCAGAATAGACATTCATGAGGTTGAGAACCTCACCCCCACTAAAGAGGGAGAGGATGAGGATGTCGCGATGGTCGACGATGTCACGACACATAGCGGGACGATAGCGGGAGAGCCTAGTTGAAACAGAGGCGATCACACGGGGAACTTCCCCTTCCTTAATGCGCACCATTTGCAGCCAGTTGGGATGCTTTGGTGTGCCGATAACCTCATCGCCCTCCATACTAGTGGTGAACAGTGCATGTCTTATGAAATTCCAAGGGGTCTCTTGAAAAAATAAAATATCAAATTTGGTTTTACAAATTTCGAGGAGAGTATTGAAGTGGGCATAGGTATGGTGAACGTTCTGACAATAAATACATAATCCACTACTTAGATCCTGAAGGTTTCCCAACATTAGTCTACGTTCAGGGGTTAGTAAGTTGGCGGCGAGCGGCATGCTCACGTACCTGATGATACTTGGCCATGATCCACTCACGGTCGTAGCAATGGGCCCAGAACTTACACGAGGCCAAGTTGGCAGCGTGGTCCTTGTGGCAGTTGATGCAGTGGCCCTTGTGGGGGCAGGGCTGGTTGCGAGGGGTGGGCGGCACAGGGGGTTTCGCTTTCACATTCCCCTTGCAACATCCTGTGTGCTGACAGTGCTCCTTCTGCTTGTGCGGACCCGAACAGATAGGGCAGGAGAGCTGTTTTGCCTTACAGGCGACAGTAGGGTGGCCCCACTTCCAGCAGCGCTGGCAGAGTGGGACCCCGGTGTGTCGCGCGGCGGGCCTGATTGCGCAGGATCACCCAGCGAGGAAGATCGGTTGGCCTAGGGCCTTCTTGGCTCGGGTTCCCTGCTGGGAGTCCCAGATGTTGCAGTACATGGTGCACGAAGTCGAGTGCACCGAGTTGCAGTCAATCCGAGGCTTGGTGCTCAGATAGGCAAAAACCTCAGCATGAACCGAGGTGTGGAGGGCCTTCTCAAGTGCCTCCTGAGTTATCTTCAGCCCCTTCAGGTCGAAGTAGGGAATGTCGAGGATCTTAATAAAAGATGTCGATGATGGGAGCGCAACCTCGAATGGAGTACCTGTTGGGAGGCTCTCGCGGATGAAGTTGCGCAGAATGTCCAGGTCAGACAGGCTGGCAACAGCGGGGGTGACCAACAACAGGCCATCGTAGACGCGGACGATGGAGGTGACCTTCAACATGGAGCAGCCATCCCTGAGATACCCATTGGCTGCACAGACTGCCGATTCGGTGAAGAATTTTGTGAGGTCAGGAGGGGTACCCCTGAACAACACGAGAACTTGCTTCCAGGTGGGGCCCTCAGAAGTAAAAGAAGTCTTCATCGGCCCAGTCAGGAATGAGGGCAGGGGAGAAGGCCCATGACGTTGTGGTCCCAAGCCAGGAGGTGGGGGAGGCATTGGAGCGGCCTGACAAGCAATCCCTGCCCACGTCATTGGACGGGGCTTGGGTTTGGTAGCGCGGTTGATCAGTGGGGGCGGACCAGGGTGGGAGTAGGCGACCTTGCTCTTCTTCTGAGGAGGGGGCAGCACTGGACGATCGACACCCTTACGCTTCTTGGAAGCAGGGATGTGAGAGGGGGAGGCAGGATGACCTTGGTCGTCCAATGCCTGCATGAGGACATCAGGCAGAGCCCCTATGTCAACACCCTCATTGAGCGGCCCACGGGCTGCAGCAGGAGGGGGTCGGAAGATGGGAGCCAGGTGGATAGTCGGCTCGTCCTTGGAAGATGTCTCAGCCTCGAGGAGAGAGGCGAGCGAGAAGTTGTCGAGTTCGCCTGGTCCACAAATACAACTAAAGTCAGTGGCCATAACAGTGTTCACAAAGGATGTCATCTGGGCCACAAAGGCATCGCCCCCATCGATGGTGAGCGGATCGTGATGTGCAGCCCTCAGAATCCAATCCATGGCTTTTGCAATGGAGGTGGTCAATACCTCAAGATCGCCAGGAAGGTCCTCAACAGTGTCTTGGAACTTCAAGGCGTATTGGCCTAAGAGTAGGTCGACGGAGGGGTCCCTTGAGATCTCTTCGCCTTCCTGAGCGCCCTCAACCTCCATCTCCTGGGGGTGGGCTGTCCCTGAGTCAGACTCATCTGCGGCAGCCTTGTCATCTAGTGATATATATCAGATTAGACTACTACCCAGTATCTATTCAGCCATGTCTGCTAGAAATCTATATCAGATCCTGTATTTAAACAAGGTAGCCTTATATATCAGGACTGTGGTTTTACAGTCCACCTATGGAGAGGGCCTTGCCGGGTGTGCCGGGGCTCGCAGCTGTGGGCAGGGCATGTCAACACATGCAAACAATGCAGGAAACAGTGCCGAAACACTGTTCCTCATCATTTGGGGTGCTCCCACCCACGTTTTTGATGGGGAAAAGCTGCCAACGACGAGGAAACATATTTCCTTGTCGTTCTGCACCATTTCCCCCGCCGTTGGGGGGCGGGATAGGCTGGATTGGGTGAGGGGTTTGGATGACGCGTCTTTTTTTACCGGCATCGGTTATTTTTAGATTTACCGTAAAGCTCCCGAGCATGCTTGGGACAAATAACACTCGCTGTCGTCTATTACGACATCCAGCGAGCTCAGGCATTCACAGGCACACCAAAGAATTGCAAAAAATCATATTAAATTGTAATTAAAATAAATACAAGGGGGTGGCTAGTAGAGCCAACCCCCTATGAGGTAGAGACAAAACGAGCAGAAACAGCACATCCATGACATGCCATTTCTGCTATGGTGCATCTCCTGCTCATCTTCATCATGCACAGGCCACCCGCCGCCATGTCGATGCCAGTGCTGGGCTTTGCGCTGTCCTCACGTCATCATTGCCATTGCCCTGTTGTCACCGTTGCCCTATCATCGCCGTTGCCCCATTGCCGCCATTGCATTGCCGTTGTCCTCTGTGATCATCCTTGTGCTCTGGGGATCTGTCATCATGTCGTGTTCGTCGTCGCCTTGTTCAGGGCAATGTGGTGTTGGAGTAGCTGGCAGAGGGTGTGTGGTGTGTGTGGTGACCCCCAGGCTGCCCACTGTTACACCCTCCACCCACAATTCTTTGGTCGCGCTAGTGCTCGTCTCCCTCACCCTCGTGCTCATCTCCCTCACCCTCGTGCTCATCCTGCCCCCACCCTCGTTTCGTCCTGCCCTCACCCTCGTGCTCATCTCCCTCACCCTCATGCTCATCTCCCTCACCCTCGTGCTCGTCCTGCCCCCACCCTTGTTTCGTCCTGCCCTCGCCCTCTTGTCCATCCAGCCCTTGCCTTTGCCCTCATCCTACCCTTGCCGTCATTCGTCATTTCTCTCCTGCTGTGCTCGCTCCTGCGCCGTTCTGACGTTCATATTTGTTCCGCACGCCTGACATGCTTGAGTCGCTGCTGTCAGATTCATCATTCCTGCATCGTGCTGCCATGGAACCGTGGGTTGGGGAGAGGGCGAAGAAGGGAGGGCGAGAGGGTGAGATATGGGTGGAGAGGGATGAAGAGAGAGGAGGGATGAAGAGAGGAAAGGGATGAGGAGAGGCTGCGGTGAGTGGTGAGCATCGGCAGGGGAGTGATGGGAGGAAGAGTGGCACCCACAT